AATGTTATATGGGAGGATCAAGAATTCCCTAGCAGAATCCGTTCCGTCATTCCGATCAATATGAATTTTGTAATTTTTACTCATTTTTTGGTATAAAATTGGAGTTTCCCGGGATCATCAATGCATATACTGTAATTGTACGCAAGCATTTTTTATTCCATGCATTCAATATTATACGACGAAAGGTTCGTATTACGAAAATGGTAATTCTGTCGGTAATACAGACCTGCTACGGGATCCTCTTAATTGCGTTTCGGTGACGTTCCGTCGCACGCTTCCGCGCCACATTTCGAATTCAATCGCGCCTCGCCATATTGGCCGCCCGCGCGCGGACCACGTGACCAGCGCCACCGGAGATGCCGCCAAAACGCACGAAAGTCGTCTGCTGTGCCGAGGCCGCGTGGACGGCCCGACGGCGCGTCTCCTCCCTCGCTGTCTCGGGATCGCTTAAATGCAGTTTACGCGTCAGCGACGACGATTGAGACGCGAATTTGCCAGCCGCTGCAACTACCATCGCAAGTACGAGCGCGACAAGCTTATTATTCATCAACGTGTATGGCTACTTCAATGCAATGTGCATACAATGTACGATGTTGTTGCTGCGGTGCCGCTTGACTGTGACTTTGTAACACTACGCTTGTACACTAGGAATCGCCGACGCCTCCCCGTATGAATTTAGATCAGGTGGAGCACACGTTCCACGTATGTCTAGGCAAAATGTATAAATGTGTTGATGCGCGCAAAATTCATGCGGGAAGGCATCGGTGATTCCTGGTGTACAGCTGCGGTCAGAAAGGCTGTCTGACGTTGTGTGACAAGTTTCAGGACAAACTTGCTGACGCGCCAACGATTCGGCAGGAATTTCACCGATGGATCTCGACGCTGCCTTCGACTGCAGCGGCAGGGTGAACGTCAACGACTGGCAGCTGAGCAGGGACGGGCTGTTCCGTCGCAGGGAGGTGGACAATGCGCTCTTCCCGCAGACCGACTACCCCTTCTCCCATGTGGAAGTCAAGCTGTTCGACTGCGCCATGCCCGGTGCGGTTGCCGTGATGAATCTCGGGCATCTGATCAATTGCATGGAGTAAGCGTTTCTCAGGGAAACAAAGTTCTCACTGTGCGCCACTCGGCCAGCTCTGGCACAATCTTATACTGGACAATTTCTTTCTCTCCGCGGCAGGATGCAGCTGAAAATACTGAACAGGCAGGAGAGACCAGTCGCGATGTCCGGATTGTGCAGCAACGATAGTGTCGATTACTTTGCTCCGCGGAGGATGATTTGCGAATTTATTATATACTTCCGTGCGTACATGAACAGGTAAACGGAGCTGTGTCTTCGTATCTCTGCTCCTGATCTCGTGACAAACTGGTCTTGCGTCTTCAATGTTGCAGCATAAAGTGGGATCTTGGCGCGCTGGAAGTAGTGATGCCCGAAATCGGCAAAGATGTGGATACTCTGTTCGACTGTGTCAAGCACTTCCTCAGTACGCTACACAGCATCCCGGATTCGACCCTGCATTACGCTGCTTCTAACATAGGCAACAAGGTGATTGAAGAAACTCATTGGCCCATATTCTCTTTTATCGCTGAAAGTGCCACTAACATTGCTTTTGAAGGATTCTTACTGGCTGAAAGGATCTTTCGCAGATGCTTTCATCTTCCCTGCTGGAAATAATTTTACAAAATTCTACAAAAAATTTAAATATAACTGCCAGAATCTAAGAAATTTTACATAAATTTAAAAAGTGTTATAAAAATCAACATAAAAATGCTAGAATTGGAACACTTTTGTTAATTTTCGTAACATTCTACAAGTAAGCAGATGTTTTAATTCTTTAAGATTTCGTTGTTTCTCAAATTTTTAAAACTAGTAAAGTTTTGTACTAATTTTTACAAAATTGTATAATACATTTTCATGAAATACTACTTGCAATAATTTCTTGATTTGAGAACTTTGTAATTTGTGATACTATTTTATAGATATTTTTACAAAGAAATGTTTCAACGAAGATATAAAAATTTCTACAAATTTCTATTTCAAGTCAATTTTTTGTAGTTATTTATAGAAACTTTTTCTGCTAGGGTTTGTCTTTGGCTGAGCATACAACGAGTAATACATTAATAAAATTCATACGGCTCCAATATGAAAGCACAAATACAAAGTAATAAAGGAGTAAGAGCCAAGACAGGATGTTGGTGTGTCTAAATCATTTTAGTTGTAAGTCTATTGCGAAAAATAATACCTCAGCCAGAGTTTGAACCTGGACCTCGCTCTCGCTAGGCGGGCGTCTCACCAATTCGACCACCCAGGCATGTGGTAATATTTATCGCAATAAACAATCTGACGTTATTTCAATCACATATCGTGACTAAACTCGAAATAGAACTGCGCGCCGACGTATTTGTCAGTCTTACTGTACAGAGCAAATATGAATACCCCTTGTAAGCCATACAGTGGTTCTGTTTCAGTGTAACCAGCCAGAGTTTCACCTGTACCACATGCATATAGAGTTACGGTGGTACCTCGTCACGTTAATGCATTCGAGAACCACAGGGTACCACCAGTATCACACGCAGCTGGAGGAGTTTGAACACACCACCGAAGTGGCCGTCAACGATCTCCTGTATTCTGCCTTGAAAATATTTGAAAGGGTAATAAACACGGTCAGAGTATTTGACTCGTTCACGCATAAATCCATTATTTCACATCTCTGTTCTTCATTCAGCTGGCCTTAAGTTGGACCGTGGATCTCGCGCAGAAAACGCCGTACTTCTGCACGTGCACGCGAGAATTGTGGCTCATGTTTCAAATACTTGTCGACAGCTTAGGAGAGAGGAAGAAAACTAAGGTAAACTCCGCCAATGATTTCGCAGAGGTGTATATTCTTATTGGGACAAAAATTTTTAGATGTTTTGGGACCTCGTAAATAGTTGTATCGATAGAGTGCTGAATAAGAATCAGTCCGAGACGATATTCTGGTACAAAAGCGTTGACTCCTCGCTGCCAGATTGTAAGAATCCCGAATTGTTTTGCATCTGGATAATCTACCATCTGTCTCTCTTGTACGGATACAGTGACGATGGCGTATACCTGCAGTCTAATTGTCCAAGGGTAATACACAACGTGAATTAAATTGAATCTAGCAGATCGCGTAACAGATACGTGTCCATTTACAGATTAGATCGAACTGCGGGCAGATTGAGAAGGTTCTGAAGACGTACGTGTGTAAAGGTGGAAAGGACGGTGAGAGGGATGAGCTTGATGTAGAGCTCAAGATTATAATACCGTTGTTGCACGATCTTATTATTAATTGGTGGCAACCGCGTGTGCCAATTATATCCTTTCTCTGGGACTGTTTTCACAAAAGATTGGATCAGCCATTCCTGTCGCAGACTTCTGGGCCTTGGGCGCTGTCCTTCGAAAAGTATGTCCGAGTAATTTATACATAAATCTATAATTGCGGTCGTACCTCCACAAATAAATGAAGTCCGAATATCTGTAGAAAGACAGCTGCGGATATTCTGAAGCAAATTAATGACAGAATTTATGGCAAGTTCGAACATTCCAAGGAGTCCAGCTATGGCATGCTTTTGCATCTGATAGGTGAGTTCGGTCAAAATTTTCCCCGAGTATTGATTATATTGTAAAGATCAATCTTTTAGGTACGTTTTTAAACAAGTACGGCACGTTAGATCCGAAATATTGGAATCAAATTAAGGGGCGTGTGTATACAAAATTCTCAAAGAACAAAGTCGCAGAGTTCTCCGAGAGTGGCCTCTACAACTTCATATCTTTGTTTATCACTTTAGCTATTACCGCGGATATTACGAACGTGGTAAGTTGAAATGCACAGTTGCTGCCACGATTTCACCTACCGTTGTATATTAATACTCGTTTTTGCAGTGTACAACAATGCTAGATCTCTTACCATCTACGCATGAATTGAATCACGAATATAACAAAAAGTGCAATCTAATCTGGAAAGGAAAACTAACGTGTCTTCTACTGTTCAATGAAAGAAGATTGTCTCTTGGCTCCATAGTTGGACATTTTAAAGATACGGTATGATCAATTTCTTGCGTAAATTAACAAAAATGTGAATCTCATATACACTCTTTGTATCTTACAGATCAACTTGATAAGTTGTCGTAAAGATGAAACATCTCGCTCCATGATGACCAGTTTCGTTGATGTATTGAACACAATTTTATCTGGCAATGAGAAAATGGATTTAGAAGAATTCAATTTCATCGGTGGTTGGATCGATCGTTACCTTTTGGAGTGCCCAAAGAACAGAATTGCATTTTTATTGGAAATGCTCGCAAATGTTTTCGAGAAATGTATCGTCCAGCAAGCCTCCTGTAACAATTCGGGTTGGTATGTCGTTGTCTTCAAGCACGCTAATGATATATTTTCAAGCGTGTGTGACGAGGGTACGATCTCTTTTCTTTTTTGCGACAATTTGCTTTCAGATGGCGCCAAGAAAATGTTAGACGCACTGTGGTGCTATGTCGCGTCCAGAGTTCGCCAACTCGTCTTCGATCCTGTACTCAGCGGTGATAATTATAAGAGTATTTCCAAATTAGCCGTCATATTTACTTTAGAAGCAGTCAGAGAACCAGCTACCGCTAAGAAGTACAAGCACTCGGCTATATCTTTATTTCAGCATTTTGCAGCGTCAATATTTGTGAAAGATATAAGGTAAAACTCATTCATCTGAAAGTCATCGTATATATTGAAAATAATAATAAACTATCTCGTCTTCAGAATTACCCAGTATTATTTAACAGCGATTCTCGAGAACGAGCAAGCTGTCCAAAACTTGAAAAAGGAAATTCCAAATTTCGATACTACTGTCATCCAAGTTCGTATACATTATTTGCTACGTTATTACACATTACGATACGATCAGAGAGTTCATAAGGTACATATTCTAGGCTTGGATAAAATGTTCCATTATTAGTTACGATGTAAAGAAGGAAGACGTAAAGATTCTGCAAGATTACATTGTCAATCTCAGTGAGATCAAAGAGATATTCGTGTCGGAGTGTGATATCTATGACTTCAAGAACGGTAAAGAACCAATCTTGACATTTATAATGTCGTTCATGAAGAAGCAAAATACTTTGAAGGTATTAATTTTATGAATGCAGCACGCATTTTGCTCGTACTTCGATCTGGGAACAAATTAATACAACTGAAAAATTTCACAGTCCGAGCAAGAAAAGCTCCAGTACAATGCAAAGTGCAAGTTGTATTTCAAAAATATCGAGAAGTGGGTCATGATACCTATAACGGAGGAAACAAAAGATTCGAAGCTCGCATTCTGGATCTATACATGCCTAGGCACATTGATACTCTGCATTTCCCCGACGCTATACACTAAAGTACGTTTAACTCGATCGCTGCTGAAATTTTTGTATTCTAAAAAAGACAATCTTGCCTTTACAGAATCAACCGAACGATATGTTAAGAACGCTCATCAACAAAATTATGTTGGTATCCGAGAACTCTACGCAGACGTACATAAGGCAGTTGGGAAAGAGCATATTCTCAATGGTGATACTCGGTCTGGAGAAACTGAACGTCAAAAGCGACATATTGTTGCAAGCGATGGTCAGAGATCTCTTCGGTCAGTACCTGCCGATTCTGATAATCGAAGTAAACGGCGGTTACAGCTTTGAGGTTTCCGATGCGTTGCTAAAATGCTTCAAGGAAGGAAACGGCGAATTTCTGCGTTTGATTTTCGAAACGCTGATGTCGAACTTTTATAACATATCATCCGACAACGTCATGCACAAACATTCCAACTTGGTACGCAGTCGTAATTATTCACTCAATATCGCAGTGGTTCCAAATATATTTATTACACATTCACACAGATAACTTGGCTTATAAAAACGTTACTTAAAGAAGGAAGAAAGTATCCCAAATGTATTACGGAAAACATTGTTCAAATTTGTTCCCCGAGCATCTTCGGATGCTACATAAAGGTACATGATCATCATCCGCATAAGCTGCACACAGTTGACTTTATCAGCGACGTAATTAAAAGTCCTTACTATGAGGAAGATAAATTCATCAGGTGAACAAATATCGAGATACATTATATCTAAGATTCAAATATATAAATAATGTATAATCGATCCTGGGTTCTTCAGGGAAAAATTCCAAGCCGCTGTTTCTGCTGCAGTGCAAAAATATTTGACGACAAATACGCAATTTACATTTGAGTTTATACGAGCTGTCTTGTCGATAAAGAAAAGCATTATAATCAATATATTTCCGCAAATTGATGCCATCATACTTTATGCCGAACAATATCACCGACCCAATGCGGCATCTTTAAGGTAAGAGAATAATCACACAATTCTCTAAAATATAAATACAAATTTTTAAGCTTTTACAGCATGATGTACATTAAAAATTATTACACTTTCAGATTCATGTCGAATCAACTGAAAAAGCATATGCTGAATATAGACAGAAGTTCGTGACAGGATCACAAACATTTATTAATAATAATTTAATAGGTATTAAATAATTTAAATAATTACAAATTTCGATTCTCTAGACCTTTGAATCATCAGGTATTAATTAACAAAAACTCGATTTCAATGGACATAATTTCATGTAACTATTTCAATGTACAGAAATACATAAGTTAGCCAAGTTCATATCCAGTTACGTAGCACAGGTTGAAATTATCGCTACATTACATTTGAAACAAAATTGTTCGATCGAAAAGTATATATAAAATCAAATTATTGTCACGCGGAAAATACCACAAATAATTAGCTGCGATGCACACGCAAGTTCACTTAAATAACTGGCAATCATCGGTCCTATCGTGAGGTATAAGATGAAATTTACAAAACCGCTAAAAACAACACACCTAAATTTGCTTCGCTACTTTCGATGTGAATGCCTCGAACGATGGTGTTTCAACGACGCACTGGTTGTATTGCCCGGAGGCGATCGTCATCCAATTAACTCGAGACGGGACACGGCACTACGTACGGCGTTACGTAGACTTTGCTCGGCGTTGCTGCTCAACAGAGACTCCAACCGTTCGAAGTAACTGTCGATATTTTGTAACGTAGCACCGTCGTGCGTGCCTGCAAACATAAGTAATTGCACAAACGGTACTTTGATACGACGCGGTATCGGCGAGAGGACTTTCTGTGGAAATTCACCTGGAAGCGGTATGGTGGCGAAGCAGCCTGCCAGCTGAGAGCGAAGAGAATCCAAGTGACGCTGCAGAGTCTGGTTGGTCGTTCGTTGTTGATTAGTTTCCGATTCCAAGCGATTCACAGCTGCGTGCAGGCTGTCCACGTGTCGCTGGAGAACCGCGTTCTGAGATTCGTAGTCGGACGTGGCCTTCCGCAATTGTCTCAGTTCAGCCTCACAGGCTGCGCAAATATCATTATTTTAATTCTCTATATCGAATAGATTTCATCGACTACCACGTAGTTACTACAACTTCTTTACCTTTGTTATGATCCAGGAATTCTTCTGTAAAAATAGGGATATCGAAGCCTGTAAAGTCATTGTCCTTATCCTGCTGAACATCCTAAATGAAGTTTCAGTTAGCATTACGATAGATTAACCGCAATCTTATAGTCTAGTAATATTATCGTACGTTCTGTTCAGCATTTACGTCCGTGCCGTTTCTCTCCTTCTTGCTCTCATTTTGTCTCTCTGACTGTTTTTCGTTGAACAACCGATACGCTTCCGTTTGCTTGTAATCGCTGAACTCTCGATTGTAGCGCTCTTTGTCTTGCTCGGCCGCGTCCAAAAAATGCTGCAAGCATTTGCCATTCCATTAACGTTGCAGAGAGACAACAGACGTTTTAAAAGCGCTACGAACCTGCTTCTGATCGATTGGCAATTTACTCCATTCCGCAGCCAGAAGCTTCGTAATCTCCGTGAACGTTAAGCTTGGATTCTGGTTTCGGACCTTCTCTCTTCGGTCGTTTAAGAACCTGCGCGAACGTTTACATTTCGTTACAAACGTGATATTCTAGCGTGTGCCGAAGTACATGTGCATTCAATCATTACAGGAAGTAACCACTCAGAGGTTGTCTCGGAGCAGTGGCGTCTCTCGGAGCCTTCTTGCGTTTCTTCGTTCTATTCGGCGTGTTGCCAGTGGCGGTGACGCTTCTCTTTACACCACTGTCGCACACCGAGTCCGGCACCTTCTCCTCTGTACTCACCGGAGACTTGGCTGACGAGACGAAAAGGATGACAGTTAGCAATTAATTTATCGAGCAACTGTCCCGGCGAGAAATGATTTGTCGATCGATGTCGAAACGATGTCGATTCAACATCATTTCAACATCGATTGACGAGTTATTTCTCGCTGGGGTACCATTTTATTAACATGGATTGAAGCACCATCTTTTTATAGCATCAAGAATTATTTGACGCCAGTACGTGACTAACAATAATTAAGCTTACAATCGACCGTAACTGGCACTGTGTTTTTAACACAGAAAATTTATTGCGAAAAATATTACCTCAGGGTTTGAACCTGGACCTCCCTACACTGTAGGCGGGCGTCTCACCAATTAGACCACCGAGGCATACGATAATATTTGTCGCAATAACAGTATAAAGATGTTATCTACGCGTATATTTTCGACTTTTGTGAACTGCGCACCATCTTTTTGTAGCTCGCGAAAAGTCACATTGAAAAACAGTGAATTACGTAGAAATTTTGCTGTAAACCCTCACGGAAAGATATATATTTCAAAAAGTAGGTGAACATATATGGTAATATATTTCATACATTTGGTATATAAAAATTCTATTTGAAAAAATCCTATATAATATTATGTCAAAAATATACTAAAAATGTATGCGAAATATATGAACAATATTTAAATTATAATTTTATAATTTCGCAACAACGCTCTTCGCTGCCGCGAGGCGGCGATCGCACGTTACGCTTTCTCGTATTGAAAAATCAACCAACAACAGTATACAAGAAGTGGCGAGAAATCAGATCTAACAGTTGCGGCAAATGAAATCAATTTGATCTCCGCTGGTAAAGCGTTGGGAATCTAAATTCTAAGATATTTAGAACACCTAATGTAATATTCCTTTTAATCATACATTTTATTATATATTTTTATGTATATGAGTGATATATGAAAAATTCCAATTTGTTGGTATTACATTTATAGTATATATTTCTTATAACGCGTATACGAGTAATATAAAACGAATGTATCCTTTCTACTTTTGCTCACTATGGTAACGTCATCCACACTGTTCAACACGGCTCTATTCTTGTCTGTCAACCGAATATGTTTAAATTATTTGCGTCTTTGGTTCATATACTTCTGTTTCACCACTTATACTTTTGACACGTCTGACTGCGTAATCTCTAAATATGCCCGTTTCATTATTTATTACACTTTTACACGATCGACTGCGTAATCTTTATATTGCGAATTCATTAATGTTTTAAATTGCATTTATTCTTCTTTTTTATACTGAAGATGGTCCAATAAGGACCGAAACGTATAAATTAAAAAGTTGTTTGGACACCACAATCTTGTTCTGGCTCAGAGCCCCTTCTCTTACCATTCGCTTTCTACTTTTCTTTATATATAATGAAATATACATTTTTCCGTGGGGAAATCACCCTGCAAGGTGAATCAATCGCCGATCAAAGCTAGTCAAAGTCACCCTGAGTGCGACGTAATCTTTGGTTTAATCTTTATATTGCAAATTCACTAATGTTTTAAATTGCATTTAGTCTCCCTTTTTATACTGAAGATGGTCCAATAAGGACCGAAACATATATATGCATTTAACTAATTGAAAAAGTTGTTTCAACACCACAATCTTGTTCTGGTTCAGAGCCCCTTCTCTTACCATTTGCTTTCTACTTTTCTTTATATATAATGAAATATACATTTTTCCATGGGGGAATCACCCTGCAAGGTGAATCAATCGCCGATGAAAGCTAGTCAAAGTCACCCTGAGTGCGGCGAGTGAATTTACCAGTGTGCTCCTCAGTCTCCCCGTTGTAAGCAGGCTGCTCCATTGCACCGTTGCTCTCAGGTACGTCATTCGTTGGAATCTCGCTCATTTTCCGCGACGCGTTCCTCCGATGCAGGTCTTGCGGCATAAAATCACCCCGTCGCCCTCGGGTTACACGTCCATCGTACAGTGCGGATCAAACTTCTGTGCGCTCTGCAACACACCACGCGTATATATGCACACAATCGAATAGAGTTAAATAATTGGACATCGTTTATCGACTCAATACGTGAATTTACCGACGACAATGATTCCATCTAAATGAAACTGTGTCGTGTCCGAAAAGAAGCCGCAGGACAAGGTGGGAAACGGTATATAAATTCACAGTTTAGATTACAATTCCTGCTCGGACCTAAAGGCGCTCTCGTTTGTTTTGTATATATATATATATATATATATATATAAAATTATTTAGATTTACGTGAGGTGGACCTCATCCACAATACGTACCATGAGAACCGAAGAGCCGCGCGTCAAGCGAGCTGTATATTAATGTCCAACGTTACGTGGCAATGTCCATTACACGGCGCGAGCGCAAAACTTGGCGCGTCCTGCAAGAGCGCGCGATTAATTCGCGCTTGTGTAAAACAAGCGTTGTTATTTATCCAAGTATAACCAAACGTACCGCGTACGTGGCCGAGGAGCGAGCTGTGCGCGAAACCGCTGCCTCGAGCGGAGGAAAATTCGCTCGTCACGCCGCGAGGTTAAGCCGCGGGGGCTAATTGTCGTCGACGGCACGGAAACACATCGCCGCGACGGGACTTTACGTGGCGCGCTATCGCGCTCGTTTGCGCGCACTCGGTCTCTGTTTTTCTTTTTTTTTCCCCCGCTTTTCTTCCTCCCACTCGGATATCGTCCTCGACGCGGTCGGCAGCGAGAAGTCACTCGAGTCGGTCGCTCGGCGTCGAAAGCGGTCGAGAGGCGGCCCGGCGATCGCCGCTTCCGGGTGGGACGCCGCGCCACGCGTCTAGATATTCGTGGCTCGTGCCCGTGCGTCGGCCGCGTACGTGGGAAGGGACGGGACCGGTGAAGCTGAAGGGAGACGCCGCCGCCGGGCTGTCGCGTGGACGTGGGTGAAACGTGTGTCTCCGCGCTGGGCGAGAGCTCTCTATTTTTCCATCGCGTAGCGTAGACCGCGTCGGCGGGATGGAGTGCGTTTACAGGTTACCGTTCTTAGTCCTGGAAGTGCCTAACCTGAAGCTGAAGAGACCGTCCTGGTTCGTGAAGCCCAGCGCTATGGTAGTCTTCGCCTTCATACTGTTCTCGTACTTCTTGGTGACAGGAGGTTAGCCGTGTTGACGTTTTCCCCGGCTTGTTTACTTATTACCGTCGCGAATGGTTGTACTATATATATACGATTTAAAGCGCGGCGATACAGCATCGTTAGCTCGTACAATCTGTAATCCTCCCCCCCGGTATTGCCGTTTGTCTCATCCACTGTTCGGCTTTGCAGGAATCATATACGACGTTATCGTCGAGCCGCCCAGCGTGGGATCTACAACGGACGAGCATGGTCACACGAGACCGGTAAGACTATTAGCCACGTTTAGTAGGCGCAATTGTTGAGTGAGCGCTCAACAACGGCCACGTTCAGCAGGCATAGCTGTTGTGTGAGCTCTCAATGGCCACATTCAGCAAGCACAACTGTTGAGTGAGCGCTCAATGATTTCTTAATACGATTGGCTGGATCTAAAAGTATTAACCAATCATACTGAACGCTCACTCAACAGTTGTGTCTGTTGAACGCAGCTAATGGCCGCGTTCAGCAGACAACTGTTGAGTGAGCGCTCAGTATGATTGGTTAATACTTTTAGATCCAGCCAATCATGTTAAGAAATCATTGAGCGCTCACTCAACAGTTGTGCTTGCTGAACGTGGCCAACAGTGGACCTATTTGTACTATGCTCCGGACAAGCCTTGGTGTGCACTCGGTGCGCACTAGTGCAAGCTGCCGAATTCGTTATTAGCTTCGGCGAGCTGTTGGACCAATTCTTAGGCTTGTTTTCTATCGCTGCACTGGTGAACTAGTGCAGTAAGTTAGAATGGGGGAAAGAAAAAACTCTGTCTTACTCTAATTTATTGCGCCAGTTGACCAGTGCAGAAAACAAGCCTCTTGTAAACCAGTGCGATCCTCGCAGGTGGCGTTTATGCCCTATCGCGTGAACGGGCAGTACATCATGGAGGGTCTGGCCTCCAGTTTCTTGTTCACGATGGGAGGCCTGGGCTTCATCATACTGGATCAGACGCACGGGCCGTCGACGCCGAAGCTTAACCGAGTTCTTCTAATATGCGTTGGATTCCTCAGCATACTCGTGTCGTTTACCGCGTGCTGGATATTCATGAAGATGAAACTCCCGTAAGGCATAATATCTATGGCCCGAGATATCTGCGTTATTGAACAAATAATTGTTTTCTTTTCTTTTTTCCAGCGGGTATCTGCAATCCTAAGTCACAAATGATTGTGAATTCTATGAACGTTGCAATGAATCATCGTTTTTTATATATCGTAAGTATGGGATAACGTTACAATACGCGTGATATTGTAACAGTGGATTGGTGGCTTTTGTAATAAAGTATGATAAGCAAAACTAAGATAGCTTTAGTTATCATTATTATTTGTAAGACAAGAGAGATATATAATTTTTTAATATGTTACAAACAAGATAAATATACAACTGTCGAAACTAAGTCATACATTTCAATACGGGTATTTGTAGCTTTTAAATACTTATTAAATATACCTCTGGAAGCTTACACTGAAGATGAACTTTCTGTCTTCTGTCAGAAGCAAGTTGACACGACGGTCTCGCGACGTCGAACTCTCGTGCGTTCGTTCAACTTCACCGCATAAGGTATATCTTTTAGAAATGCTAGTTTCTGGTCGAGAGAAGAGACGCGATTTCTCTTTGTTAGATTGCGCCATGCGTATTGACAACACACCATTGTGTTTGGCAGTTTTGTGATATTTTTAAACTAACAATAAGATCTACGTTCGTGGTTACGTTCGTTCCTCTTATTATAATCCTAAATAAATAAGCTCGATAAAACAAAAAGGATCATCGTCCGACTTAGGCCACGTTGTAGAGCCTTCTGCAACGATCGTACTTTTCCTTTTTCCAAAGTAGGCCCGTGTCCGCTACTATATAATTAAATGTCGATTAACGGTCAGTCTTTCATTGGCAAGTTGGTCGTAAACTTTTATAAACGAATGCGAAAGCTCCTGTAAAAAGATTTTGACGTTACTGGCGACATCAAAATTCGACAAAGTGATTTTATTATATAATTATGAGGCGTCTTACTTGGAGAAGTCGCTGCTCTTCTCTATAATGTGCTCAAACTCGGCGAAGCTGAGCGCGCCGTCGTCGTCCAGGTCGGCCTCGTCGAGGATGTACTGGAGAAGCTGCTGTATGTCGCTGTCGTTCAACCTCTGGGGCGCGGTCAGTCGGTCGACCACTTGCCGCAGGTCTCCCACACCGAGCATGTCGTCGCCGTCGAAATCTTTATAAACAAGACTTTGTCATCGAACGGAGAATACGACGGGGCAACGTGGATAATTGACCGGCGCCTCACCGAATATTCTAAACGCGTGCTCGGCCTTCACGGCCTTCGGCGCGGCGTCGCTGAACACGGACATCATGTCCAGGAAGTCCTCGAAGGTGCAGTCGCCGTCCTGACTCGAGCTGAAGACCTTGCAGATCCTGTCGCCGAAGGGATTCACTCGCAGCTCGGGATACTGCAGGATCTTGGACATCGGCAGCTTCGCGTTTTTGTTATGTCCGACCTTCTCCGGAGCGAGCGCCTTGAACTTCTGATGAGCACTGTTAAGAGCAAATAATTAGGATTGGCCAATTGTGTCGACTATTAATCTCCTACGTTGATTAATTATTTACTGGCAGCAATAAATCTTTGCTCTAGTTAACAGTCCAGTTCAACGAGATTAGTTTACGAGAAGAAATCCATAAACGAAACCGGAATTATCTCGCGTTGATACTCACTGTAAGACTTCCTTCTTGGTGAAGTACGTCAAATCCTGTCGACAGAAGAAGAGCACAGTCCGATTAAGAAAATCCTTAAGGGATAAATAAATATCCATGGACATAGTAAATGTGGACTGAGCGTCCCATTGAATAAGCTAAAGCCTGTGAAGAGAGGGACAGAGAAGATTTAAGAAGATTTTCTTTCTCCATCTTGCCATCGTGAGACGGAAGAATCACGCCTGTGTAGTACTGCGTAGGCACGACTCTTTTCTTTTACGGTGGTATAAGGCAGAGAAAAGCTGGTGGCAGAGAACGATCTGTAAACGCTTAAGACTGGCTTAGTCGTAGACGTAGGGCAAGGCAGAGAGAAACGTAAGTCGTATACAATAGCCTTTCACGACTTACGTTTCTCTCTGCCTTGCCCTACGTCTACGACTGAGACAGTCTTAAGGATGTAGGACGTACAATCTTAGACAAAAGTGCATGAAATTGGAAATACTTAAATATCTACTCTTAACGCATAGTAAATCTAGATATAAGAAACTTGAACGATAGTTGGAGTCTAATTTGTACTCCTACAAAGGTATTTTTCACTTTACAAATATTTTTTCTTGAATTATTTGCGATTTTTTTCACTCATGAGCCTAAACTTTTGATAGTAAAAATACTCTGATTTCAATTCTTAATAACGTCAAATATTTTCAAAACTAAAAAATTCGTGCCGACAGCACGAATATCTCAAGTTATATTTTATTTTTTTTAAACGGTGCAGTAAAGACTATATTGAAACTTGGTAGATATTTTCATCTATTCGTATACTAGAGGTATAAAAAAATTCAAAACACTGGTACTATTTCTTCTACATTTTTTCAGCTGTTTTATCCGTGAAGATCGGTTTTTCCCATAAGAGTACGTGTAAAATCAGTGTAAATTAAAATACGAGTAGTTATATCTCAACAACCGTTTAGTGGATGCATTTTTACTTTTCTGCAATAAATTAGGAAGACTAAAAGAACAATTTCACAAATTTTTAGCGACTTTGTACTATTTTGAAGATAGGTCCGATACATCCTTAAGCATTTACGGATTGTTCTCTGCCATCAGCCATAGTCTTCTTAAATCTTCTCTCTCTCTCTTGACAAGCTTCAGCTTATTCAATGGGACGCCCAGTCTATATTTACTATGTCCATGTAAATATCAGAGCTGAAGATAAGCGAAGGATAGCGGGAAGAAGACAAAGTCTCACCTGATAGTCCTGCAACTCTTCTTCCGTGAACTGGCTCTTTCCCGCGCCCATCTTCGCGGAGGAACCGCGCCACGTGTCAACGAACGCCTTGCAAACGCCTCGGTGATCCTCGGGAGGAAACTCGGTCACCGCTAATCAACATCGAACGCCGCTGCTGACTAATTCGTGTGACACGTCCGGTATCCTGTTACAGTCGTTTTGAAGCCCCAAACGTGACTTTGTCGAGGAAAGCTGGCGCTTAGACAAGTTTTCCCCCCGAAAGCTGACCTGTCGATTGATTATCACGTCATCGTCGGGCGAGCGGGACCGTCGCAGCCGTCGTTCCCGCGAATGTAACTGTGCTTTTTAAAGGGCGCTGTTTATTGATCAACGCGCCGGTGCAGGTAGCACGTTCGTCGAGCTTCGGTCAGAGAGAAGCCCGAGAGTTGCCGCGGCCGGGTTTCAGGTGTTCCTCGAATGCAACACGACCTCTGTGGACGTTGGAAAACGTGGACATTAACTACGTAGCCAATATCCACACTTTGCCAAGTGGGTAACGCAGACTCGCGAAATTTTGTATCGAACTTGCAAGTCCTTTTGCCGACACAATTTGTAGTAGATCGTTCACGATAAACTTGGCTCTGTATATTTCGTTGTAACTTCGCATCCACATCGAAAATCGCGTCCACTCCTCTCCGGAGATTCAACACATTAAATAAAGAATTTTAAATTGCCGTTGTCGTTTGAAACCTGTCCGTTTGAAGGCAACGAATCCACAGGATACATTAATCTACGATCTACAATCTACGATCTACGAGATGTATATTGGTTGGCCCGAATAGAAAAGTTTCCGATTCACCGTGGGCCATTTTAACCAACTCCGACTAACTTTAATCGACGATTAACCCGATCAGCAGTGTCGTCAACGTGAAGACTTGTGTGCGCATTAAAAAGATCAGGTTAAGAACGACACACACACACAACAAGTCTTCATGTTGGCGACACTGCTGATGAAGTTAATCGTCGATTAAGAGGATGCTAAAGTCATCTGTTTTACCGACACATTCGAATATAGCTTTTGTGCTGCTGAATCTTTTTATTAGTTTTTACGCTTAAAATAATACCAGGATAAGTTGCGGACCGCATAGCAGAACGTTTTTATACTTGAAACACTCGGGTCAGAAGTCTAATGAGAAAGATATTGGTATTTTAAATTTTCGATTTTTTAATCGTGAGTAATTTGAATTTGGCTTTATAAAATTACAAAATTCTTCCACGCGATTACAGTACGCGTAAAAACAAAGCGGGGGGTTCACGACTTTATATAAAAAACGAAGAGAAATTAAAAATATCAGCATGTGAAGCCTAACCACAATTACTTATAAAGCGATATTTTTAATTTCTCTTCGTTTTTTATATAAAGTCGTGAACCCCCCGCTTTGTTTTTACGCGTACTGTAATCGCGTGGAAGAATTTTGTAATTTTATAAAGCCAAATTCAAATTGCTCACGTTTAAAAAATTGAAAATTTCAAATACCAATATCTTGCATTGTCTGCAGCGGGGTTAAGGCTCGGTTTCACCAACGTTGTTTAACTTTAAGCTTAGCTCATAGACATCTATATAGACGGAGCATTATGGACAAGAGAGGTTCTGATATTCGGGGCGCGGGAGGCACTCATCTGACATCGACTCTTTCCGGTGAGATTCGGTAATATTCGGTTCATATTTCCAATACGTGTGCACACGTACATACGACGCGTTGCTTGTGTGCGAGCGTGCGCGTGCCCCACTCCAAGTTGGAGGGGATGATCCGTTCGGCCACGCGCGCGCGCACGCTCGCACACAAGCAACGCACCGTATATATACGTGTGCACACGTATTGGAAATGTGAACCGAGTATTAGTCCCAGTCTACAATAGATGATTTAAGCCCTAAGCTTTAAGAAATTGGCCAATCACGGTCAAGTGTGAGCAGAATGCGCGACTGTGATTGGTCAATTTCTTAAGGCTTAGGGCTTAAATCTCTATTGTAGACTGGGACTTACCGAATCTCACCGGAAAGAGTCGATGTCAGATGAGTGATCCCCTTGCCGCGATTATCAGTTACCCTTCGTACAAAGGCTCCGTCTATAGATGTCTATGGCTTAGCTTAATTCGTTCTTCGTCGCTTTCTGTTACTTTAGAAAGAGACAAACGTGAATTAAACCGAGATCAAAGTTAAACGACGTTTGGTGAAACCGGGCCTGAAGTGGCCCCGATGTGCATAGCGCGGGACGCGACCGAAATTGTCCAAATCTGCGTTACCTACTTGGCAAACTGTAGGACACCAGGGGTGCTTTCGCGACGTAGAGTAAAATGATCCGGATCAAAATGATCCGTGCTATGATTGGTCAAATCTGAAATTTCATTGAATAAAATTTCAATGAGATGCTACGAAATTTCAGATTTGACCAATCATAGCACGGATCATTTTGATCTGGATCATTTTAAGCCCGCTGCAGACGATGCTATTTTTCCTGCTGGATTGCTTGCGATCTAATAAATTACTATCGTTGCACCATTCAGCACTCAGGATTCCTAGTAATTTCGTAAATCGCAAGCAATCCAGCAGGAAAAATAGCATCGTCTGCAGCGGGCTTTACTCTACGTCGCGAAAGCACCCCTGGCTACGTAGTTCATGTCCACGTTTTCTAATATCCACAGAGGGCGTATCGAGGTCCACCTAATTTGCTGTGTACCGTCTGCGTCTGCACCCTCTGCGCTTGAAACGGGACGCAGGTATAAGCCCCGCCATCAGCGGGAGAGAGAGGTGAGAGCAGGCGGCAGGGAAGGTGAGGAAGATGCGAGAGGAACACTTCGGCGAAGGCGGAAACCAGCGAAAACTGGCGGAACTTCCGAACCATCCTCGAGAGAGAACTCGAGCGGCCCGAAGCGACTGAGATTCGGCGACAGAAGACGCACGATGGACAAGCTCGGGAAAATCTTCAAAGAGGTCTACTATGATCAGTTCAAGTGGTGGGTTTCCGACCGCGTCGTGTCGTTCGTCGCGGAGATCGCGGGGTAGACTCGAGGACGGTGCCTGGCGAACATAACCTCGACCACGTGCCACCGGATTCGCTTTGCTCTGACACTAATTTTCGTGCCAAGTTATTACTAAGAGTGCGTTCCGTTTCATGCACGATGTACATAATGCATCATTTATCCTTCTTCAACATTTGGCGAATACCAAGGATAAATGATGCATCATGCGCATCGTGCGAGAAACGGAACGCACCCTAATGCTTCAGCTACCGTTGTTATCGTGAATTATGTTTTGTTTAGCCGACAACGAGTGAGACTCGTCCCTTCCATTTTCCGCGTTCTTATGTGTTCTTGGTTTCCGTTCTCCTAAATCCATCCGAGATTCTTGGTTCAAGTACATGCCCGTTTATCTGCGTTTGTTTCCGGCCGTATTGTTCTTCTGAAGAAGACAGGTGCCGTATCAATAAGAAAAAGAAGAGACTCGCACATGCAAGGTGGATTCGTGCTGCGACTGTTCCAAGTCACGATTGTTTCGTTACTCCTTGTGGAAAATAATTATTTATGTCGTAAATATTCCCGACTAGTTTAAACTACTCGGTTTCTTATATCTATAGCATTTGTGAAAGTATGAAAATCCAACGGTAACACATTGAAATTGATTAGTTTATGTACATAAGATAGAATTATTAAAAGGACGAGAAGATCCTCGGGGAGAGAGTGGAATGTCCTAGTAGCCTGTACTTTCTGCAAGGTCCTCAAGAGCCAACCCTGCGCGAGCAGATTCTGAGTAGTCTGCTTCAAATTTTTGATGCTAGAGAGGCAACAAATTCAGCAAATCCTGCTAGTATGCTACAGCAGCGGATTGACAACAGAAGCCAAGTAGAAGCCTGTAGTGAACTGATGGCAGATCAACGGTAGAAACCAAGCAGATCCGTAGCAATCTGCTGTCTGATCGGATTTGTAGACTCCGCCGGTAGAATATAAGAGAATACGGACGCAGTTGATAGTCTGCTGATATGTTTTGGTCTGTTGTCAATCTACTATCGACACACTGCTATCATTTTATTTGCTTGTGAACAAGAGTTCAGATATGCACAATTTAGTCAGTCAAAGGGTTTAGGAATTGGTTCTATTTATGTACATAGATGTACACGGAGAGAATTCTCTCTTAAAATTTCTCCTGAAAGTCATGTAATCGTGGGACAACGTGGCATTTCGAGGAACTTTATGAGTCTTTTAAATTTTACCATACATTTTACTAGTAATCACATTTAGTATACATTCTACTAGTAAGATGTATGGTAAAATTTTAAAAACCTTGTAAAGTTCTTCAAAATTTCACCGTTGTCACACGGCTACCTGATTTTCAGGAGAAATTTTAAGAGAAAGTTCTCTCCGTGTACGCACAGTACGGTGCATTAATTCGGTTTGGATAATAATCAGGGATGGGCAAAAATTACTTGATTATCTAAACATAGATGCTTGTTAACGCACCGCACTGTGAATTGGCTTACTGTAATTTCTGCAGCGCGCAAATGTCCCGTGCCAACAGCCGCTTCTTTTTTTTTACAGGTCAGTGGTTAAGAACATCGCTTTCTTCATCGTCGGCGTCAAGATCGCCGTCGAGTGCAACGGGATGACTCCCATGCCGCCAGTCTCCGTTTAAGCCGCTCCCTGAAGTCTCGCAGAATCTTCTATAAGATCGAGAAGGAAACTGCCGAGTGCTCCAGTTTCTCGCATGTCGCACGTCGATTACTGTCAATTGCCGACACGCGTTTGACTCCATCTGTACTATACGAAACTGTATATTTTGTATCCGGGACGCTTTTATTGAAGAATTGTTAATAAACAATGTACAGTATCCGTCGTTACGTTTGCGATATCCAGAATGGACTTCGACCCCTGGCTAATTTAAACATTTCTGTACACATCTTGGAGTTTTCGTGTATACACAAACGTTTACCAAAGTTGGAGTACCATTGCTATATGAGTCCTGTATCATTTTTCTTCGCGATAAACAGTTGTCGAGATATCGTATGATGATTATTGAAAAAGTTGCCGAGTTTTCTTTGAATATTTCAGAAAATATTAGACAAAAAATGTTTCAGATAAAAGCTACTTCAATTAATTAATAGAAAAAGATATGATAAAGAACGCAGGATTTTATTTTTAAAATTCAAAATTACCTTCATGTAGTCCCTTCAAACGACTATCCAAGATCAAACCAATGATACCGTCTTATGTTCCCTTTAAAACCATATAACTTTTGTCTCAAACATTTGTTTCTAAAACGCATAGTTTTTGAAGCGTTTAGGGTTTCCATACTTTTTCCTCACCCTGTACATTAGACCGTATAATATATATGTATTTGTTATCCCCGAGTCTCTCTCCGTGTATCAAAGGACGGAGAATTAATTTGATCCCCGTTAATGGAAAATAACCGAGTGAATCGATGCCCTCTCGTTGCAGTTGTTTGTGCCGCCGGATTGAAAAAAAGCGCTGTTTTTCTGCACGTGCTCCTAGTTGTCTATCTCATTGCAAGGTGGCGCCGCGAAGCCCTGATAAGAGCTCCAGCTCCAGACTCGCTTTGTATATATATATAGACGTCTGATCTGAATATTCAGCGCAAATTCACGTGCTGATTCACGGGCTGTCGCCTGGTTTGTTGCACGATTGGATTAAGCCAAGCCGAGGTCGCAGCCTGTTCGGGGGAATCACCGCGGTTTCGACGGACGACAGACCGCGTATGATGATAGAGTACCTTGAGCGATCTTGTCGTTGCGTGGGCCGTCGTCTGGCAAGTGGCTCTTCGAATCCACTGTCAATAAAAACATAAACTCTCCAACACAGCATTTCTCGCCGGGACTTGGCGCTCAGCGGTTTGTCAACATGAAGGAGGTACCGGAGAACAACGGCAATTCCGAGTGGCCAGGTAAGCTTTGGAGATATCTCGGGCGATTAGTCGCCGGAGTAGCCCGGAGTCCCGACAGCGCTTAACAAATTCACGCGGCGAATGACCGGGATATCCGTTTTCAGCCGTGATCGGGGCGCTATTGGACACCTTGGACGACAAGAACCAAGATGTACGGCGGTCCGTGGTCGGGTCGATCGAGAGAATCAGCAGGAAGAATCCCGAGGTCGTCATCCATGCTGCCGTATACTTCTGGGAGCTGCATAAAAAGGTTGACACCTAATTATATGTAATTTAGACTGGATATCGCCGCTGTGCGTTGCGTCACGATTGTTAAGCGACCGTTTGCTGTTCAAAGATCTCCGCGGAGCACATGGCGTCCCTGTTGAACATAATATCCAGCGTATGCAGGCACTCGGCTACGAGTCTAAGCGTAGATGTAGTGTCCTCCCTCGCCGAGGTGGCGGTGAACGAGTTAATAGGCGAGACCGAGAACGAGGCGGCCGAGCTGTTGATCGAGCTCTGCAAGATACACTGCATGCAGGCTACGGGTGGGCTTTTAACCAAGTACGTGCCCGATGATACTCTAGGCGGCTGTAAATTAACTTGCTTGCGGCGAGCACGCAAGCACCACCAAAGGTATATACGTCGATCTGCTCTGCGTCTATGCTAACGGATCGCGATGTACATTTGTAGATTGGAGCCCGGGGTGATTCCCAATGCTGCGATAATTTTTACAATAGGGAAACTCGCGGCAGCCAATCCGTACGGAATGCTGTCCTTCGTTAAGATAACGTTGACCATTATGTTACCGATGCTGAATCAGATACGCGAGGAAGTTCTCAAACAGGCAATTTGCTTCAGTAAGTACAATACGTTTTATTGCGCTCCTGATAAGATCGACGAAGCTCTTCTTCTCTCTCTCTGCACGAAGGCCTGTGTCCGCGATGCTAGAACCTTAAATGTGTGGCCAGTCAACTTGCAGCTATTCCATAACAGCCGCGTGTTGATTGGCGACACTTCTCGGAACCAGAACTCGGACCAAGTCCTAGCATCGTGGACACAGGCCGATTCTTTCTATTTTACTTGTCTTAACTGACTTCTTCGTTTGCAGTGATTTCCAAGTTTTGCGAGGCTATAAACGACTACATAATGAACGGGGAAGACTCGAGTATGGGAATTAATAAGCAGACATTTGTGGAAGAGATTTGTTCCGTCTTCGACTTTCTGACGCACAACTGGCTGAAAACGTCTCGCGATTCCAAATCAACGGAAGCTATTTTAATGACACTCGTGCCTATGGTATCTTTGCTGCCCGTGCAACAGGACGGCGAGAGAATTGTAAAATTGATACCCGTGTGTTTGAGTCTCTGTAAGAAGCAAAATATTCGTTTAGCTGCCGTAAGGTGAGTTTCATAATTTCCAATGTGTTTGTTTGTTGTATACTGTATTACATATTGTTTCTTTAAATGCCGTTCAAAGAAAACTTCATTCTTTTTCGCTTGACTAATATTATCATGTTAACAGAGTTTTAGCTGTGACTTTAAGTTCTGTCGAGACTGAAAACGACAAGGAGGCAATCCGCCCATTTATGGAGAGTATCCACCAAATTCTGTCCGAATTCGTTAGTATTTGTCCCTTCGAGGCAGCTCGGGATGCGGTTCTTACGCATTACGAAGTGCTGCAGTGCTCCAGATCGTTGGTAGTCTTGTACCCGGAAGAAGGTCTCGATAGGTAACTGATGTTTTCGCACTTTCAATTAAGTCGCGGGATTTGCGCGAGTTTCGATCGCTCACTTTTCGCTCTCTCGCAGAATCTTGCAGCAGTTGAAGTCACCGGTAACCAATCAACGCGCTCGTGCTTTAGTGGTCCTCAGGCACCTCATAAACACCCTTCCGCCAGAGGTACGGGCCTGCCGACTGGTCTCTTTCGCGAGGTCGTATCTCGATTTTACGCAAAAACCGAAAATCGACGAGAGCCTTGCGAAAGGGATCAGTCGATACGTGGTTTCATTAACAAGATCAACCATTGATATGCATACTGTTTTATTAGGACGATGGATCTCTGCAGAGAATCGCGCTCAGCTTGCAGGAATCCCTCGGGGAGAATGGCGCACTCCAAATGGTCGGTGCTATAGTGGCGCTCGCGGCACGGCCGACCTTTCCTCTCTTGCCGTCGCAGAGGGCTAGATTTGTTCGCTATATGGTAACGTAAACGATGCGCAAAATAAAATTGGGAGAAGAGTAATTGAAAACTTAATCTTTGTCTTGCCAAAATAGGTGTCGCACTGTGAGACGAAGAGTGACGATATGGAGGCATGTTCCGAAGCTTTGTATCTGCTCGCAACGACGGTCGACGGGGTCGAATCTTGGCTGTGGCCGTGTTTGATAAGCGCATTGCTGGACTCGGCTTGCGTGGCATCCGTAAGTAACAATTCTGTTTGCCTGGGGATATTCAACGTGTGCTAAATTTAATGCCCACATCCGACCGTTGTTCTTCTCTCTGTCCTCAGGTCACATCCGTGTTACGTTCATTGTCTCCGTTAGCGGCGAAAATAATACGCGATGAAAATTCTTCGACAAACGAGAGGGATTTTCCTGGCACGAAAGTTTTAGGCAGATGCCTGGAATTGTTAAGCAACCCGGCTAATCGATCCGCGGTAGTGGCCTTCTTAAAATCGGCAGCGCCTTTGGTGGGACACCGGGTGAAATCTTATTGGGACGAGAAGCTACTGGAGCTCTCGCAAGAACTCTCGCAAGATGAACAAAATAGCTCTCGGAAAAATTCTAAAGAAGCGAAAGAAGCCATGCAATGGTAATATTTTTTACGTATAGATCAATTTGTTTCATGTATTACATATATTGTTAAGGCTTTTAATTGTTGCCTTTTAATTTCTAGGGATTCAACATGGGAAGAAAAGGTTGTAGAGTGGTTAGAAGAAAGCGTGAAACTGGAAGGGGAGTCGTGGGGCGCAAAACTCGCTGACGAACTCGCGTTGAAGGCAAACACGCCGGGCGTAGCGCTGCTCTTGGCAGCTACGTGCAGTAACAACGCTCACATCACCCTGCTCGTCGAGCTCGCGCGTTCTCACGGCACTACCAAGGAATTCGCGCAGGCGGTCGGCATCTGCGCCAAACGGCATCTGAGTATCGTGCTGAAATTAATGGAGGAGTTTTGCACCGTCGAGGATGCCAGGAAGGCCCCAGTGAGGTTGCTAGGTTTCGTGAAGGACGCAAAGGCCGCTGCTACCGCCGAGGCTGCAAAAGCGGGTCTATTACATTCCTACGCCGAAATTGCTAAAAAGGGGGATCCGCAGGAACTTTTCCCCGTGTTCGAAAAGCACGTGTTACCTTGGACTATTAAGCAGTTGCACGAATGTAAGGAACTGTCCACGAAGGAAGCAGGATTGTCAGTCTTGGAACAAGTAATTTAATTTTATTGTAATAAACGATTAAACAAGTCTTTAATGGTACCTGTATAGTTAAGGTGTAAAACGTTCTCTACTTGTTGATCTGCAGGTGGCCAACGCTGTTCATCCCACCAGATTGCCCGAATCTAACGGCCTGCGTGCAAAGGCCACTGCTCTGGCAACTTTGTTGGGAATTTTGCAGTCGTCAACTGGATACAGACCTCTGCAGCTTTATCCGGCAATATTGAAAGCAGCAAACTCTTTAATGTACGTTTCGCTCAACGCTGTATTTATTACGCATTGAACAAAACTGAGTAAATAAAAATATAATTTTTCCACACATTTTTACAGATGTATACCGCCAGCATTAAATAACGAGGAAAGAGAGCTCTTCCTCAGTGCAGTACTGGATAAGACAATTAACGCTAGTTCAGAGGTATCGAAATTGAGATTATAGTATCATACTTGTCGATTGTTATCGATGATTAATGAATATCTCTCCGTCTCAGATCGCCTTACAATTACATCCAGAAGTAATGCAGCAAGTCGTGGACGAGCTGGGAACCGTGTCTAGCGAAATTGTATCCGATTCGGCGGACGCGCTAGCTGAGCTGGTTGACATATTGCTACCCTGGATGCAGTCCAAGTCGAATGTGGAGAGAAGAACTACTCTGATGGTGCTGCATACAGTGCTCCAGTAATTATTACACACAATACACAGTCATACATATATCCTGATTTTATCATATATACAGGGTGAATCATTTTAATCGACGCACGCAAATATCTCTTACGCAATTTTATAACTTTTTCAATGTTCAACTTGTGATATCTCGATAACTGTTTGTCGGAGGGAAAAGTAGTACAGGACCCTTTTTTACTTGATTTGATCTCAGAAATATGTCGTTGCAATAGTGCTCCAATTATTGAAAATTTTTGTGTATGTAAATTTTCAATAATTGGAGCGCTATTGCAACAGCATATTTCTGAGACCAAATCTAGTAAAAAGTACTACTTTTCCCCTCCGACAAACAGTTATCGAGATATCATAAGCTAAACATTTAAAAAGTTATAAATTTTCTCTTGAACATCTCAAAAAGTATCAGGCAAATCAAAACGTGTTTCGGACAAAAGTTGTTCATATTAATTAGCAGAATAAGATAGTATACTAAACAATAAGAGGTTCCATTTAACAAAATTCTTCAAGCAACTATTCAAGGTCGAATTAATGTCCCCCTCGAAACCCAACAACTTTTGCCCAGGTCATTTTTTGCTAGCGCCCTTCCTCGAAAAGGTATTTGTGCGCTTCGACTAAAATGACTCACCCTGTATATCGTTTCTAACGTGTGTTCTTTTTTACAGGTCTTATTATAATTCTTTAAAATATACATATCCAGGTGGCAAGTTGGATGCCGGAAAACTAGTAGGAAGAACTTTATGCTGGTGTGCAGACACCGAGTTCGCGTTGAGGCCGCTGGCGATAGATTGTATGCTTCTCACTTTGAACATCGCAGCCCGTCATCGGCATATATTACCTGATAATACCTTGAGTGAAAACATACAACAAATAAAGAAGGAACTTATGATTGAAGACTCATCAGTGTCCTATGGAGCCGTCCAAGTTAGTTTGTATAATTGAATATTGCCAAGAATTTTATCACGATAATAATTTCAACAACAGAAACCGTAAGATTCGATTCATTCTAAACAGAGACTGGCTAATGCGGTATCGCAGAAAATCCCTAACGGCGAGATAGTTAGCTTGGCGGAGGGTTTAATAGAAGGCTTGCTATTCTACGGAGAAGCGAGCCTGGTAGCAGGAATAGCTCTCTCGCAACATTTTCAAATCAAAGGGTCGGAGATAGCCAGGATCGACGTTTGCTTAGTCGGTGCGTAAAGTTTCCTGTCAAATTCCTGTCAAATCAAATTATCCTGTCATCCATCGTCGCTTGAGGATCTTTATCCAATTTTACAATGTATTGTTGACGGAACGTTTTTGCTATTATTTATGTCGCAGACAGTATCATTGCGCAAATGAGACAAATGGAAAACACGAGCTGCAGGTACATTGCAACGGTGGCTATAGTATCGCTAATGAAACATCATCCAGAAGAAGTGACCGAGCATCTTTTGTCTCAACCGTTACCATTGGATCCGGGTACCGCATTGTGCTGGAAAGAAATTGGCAATAATGACTTTCTTGGATCCCGAGTAGGTCTATTTTTTTTCTTTTAACAATTACACATCCGTACTGTGCGTTACGGAGTATTACGATCTTTTTTGTTTCAGGCTTTGGATATGCTACTGATAAAACTCGAGGCCAACAGTCTATTCTCCGAGATTGCTGTTCCACCCGCGCACACCGGACGGAATAATACCGCATCTCTCCCGTCCTTGGCGGCTATGGTGGGCTTGAAGCATCTTCTAGAATCGCCACACGTGGAAAGCTTGATTACCAGCAAGCAATTAGCGGGACTGTTATCGGTTCTCCTCAAATATCTTTCGGGCTGGCTGCACGTTGACGCTCCCGCGTCGTTGATTAATACGAAGTACGGATACGTGCCGAATCGAGCGGCGCAGAAGATCAGTCCGCACACGGAAGTGTACTCTATATTGACCAACGTATTAGTAATCGTCCAGCCGAACGCCGCATCCAACTTGCCGATAGAAACAGTATGTGTCCAAAGCGTTGTACAAATTTACGATCGTTTCGATCTCGAGCCAATGTGAATCTTCTGCATTTAGGCATTTGCTTCCGAAACGCAAGCCGAGGAGAGCTTGATATCGACTGTACGAATACTGATGAAATGTATATCGACTAGAAACGAAGTTCTATCGAGCATGACGCAATCTTTGGGCAAACTGATGACCAGCACGATCGCCATACAACGTGCGGTCGCCGCCACCTTCTACTCGGAATTGATTGGTAAAATAGATTGCGGAGCTATATGGCTTGATGCTATAATTAATACTCTGCACGATGCCAAGGCCGATTCATCGTCCTTAGTGCGAAAGCTCGCTACCATCGGACTCGCTAGGATAGCCTACTTGGACCCAAGACAGGTAAAATAATACTTTTGCCATAAGCTTTTCCGTACACTGACCAACGGTTGTCTTTCAGGTCGATGAGTATTTCGACAATTGCATGGATGCCTTACTCGATGGATTGGAGGAGACCGCCGGTGGGGAAGGCGGTGCTGAAGTAGTACTCGAGTCGTTACGCGGTCTCTCGGTGCTGTTATCGGTGCAGTACAAGAGACCTATCAGCACGCGAGTGGTGTTGGCCTTGAAGCCGTTTATCGAGAAAGAAAACTGGGAGATGAAACTTGCTGCCATAGGCGCTCTGGGTGCGATCGCTACCAATTGGCGGAGATCAATCGCATTGCCGAATGATGATCTGATCGATCATCTTATGGGCTGTTTGCCGTCTCTGATAATAAGACTGGAAGACTCGAATATAACAGTAGTTAAGGTACACCTATATCGCATCTCATTGTAGAACGTATTACTTAATTACATGTTTGGATGTTTACTTACGCCAATTATGCAACAGACTGCACAGGAAACCTTATGTAAAACTATAAGTATCGTGCAGAACGAGAGACTGTCGTATGTGACACATACTAATTTGGGACCACAAGCAAAGTTCAACTTCGACGATTTTTCCAAGGACTTGATTAACTGTTTGAAAGATGAATTTCCACAGAGAGCGGAAGAGCTAAGGTGACTATGCAGAAATGAAATGTTGTCTTTAATTTAATTAAATATTAAAAATAGACACGTGTTCTCCAAGCATTATTGTCTCTTTGCCAGAAACGCCGTTGTTCGCGGATACTCCAGATCGGAGAATTATCACACCAGAGCCACGTCCGCGCTGCTCTTAGGATTATTCGATTCACCGAGGCCCGAGGATATACAAAGACTGTTACAACTCCTACGTGATAAAGAAAGCGTTGTAAGAATACGCGCTTCGCAAGCCCTTTCATTCTGCTTTACCTTAACGTAGGCAATGCCTCGTCGATTCGTTTTTTGAGAAGTTTTTTTTACTTCGAGATTTCTAAATCTTTTCTAGAATTGTTTTTATTCTTGTGATACACTGTAGATTTGTAAAAGTCGATTTATCCACTGGCCATATTGTTGCAACTTATAAAATTTTATTGTAATTATTATTGTTTTATTAGGTAGAATGTAAATATGCAATTGATTTATTAGGATTATGTGGCAAGACATTGCAAATAAGATGCTGCACTATTACTATTAATTAGTTAATTGATAGGTGACTGTCTTTTCTATTGGCACTCCATACGCAAAGTACGGTCTATATCCTGTATACGATGAAGGTAACTTGTCATAAATAATACTTAATTTATTTTCATTGATTAATTTCCTTATCGCGTGCACTTCTTCTGGTATCTCTTTGGCTGCATCTGACTCACTGTAGGAGTATTTTAAAATTATTTAACCATATAAAAATATTTATCACTACGAAAAAGATAACATTTATAACTGCCTTAAGAACGTGGCTCTTTCTTTTCGAGTTTTATCCTTCTTATAATAGCAAGTATCGTCCGTGAGAAAAGAACGATTTTGCATGCTGTCCCATTTCCTAGCAGCTCCTTGAAATCTCGCCGGCAAACGAGTTATTATTTCTTGATTAGTCAACTATAAATTATGTGATCGATCTGTTTGATTGTTATGGAACGTAAAAGTTTACAATATGGTGTAGTAGAGTAATACGGGTTTATCTTGCTCCTCTACGTGTCTCTTCGATAAGCAAAGACATTGTTTAAAGTCGCCCCAAACTTCCCTCGCCGTTTGACCCGTCGTTGTTTTATATATAAAGTCGATCAATAATTTTCTCTTATCTTTATCCCGTACGTCATCTAAGCTTACACTCGGCACCATATACTTTCTTGGCCTTTCTCTAAATCGAGATTAAAATTCGAGGAATTTACGTACAAATACGTGTATACGGAATCGAGTACACATATGTGTGGAAATTAGTTGATTTTGTTACAGATCATTACTCGATTGTGCTCTCCAGATATTCGTCTCCAAGAATATGTCTTTTCTCCGTCGCTTTTACATTAATACCGATCATACCCTTCGGCTCCCACAGTGTATTGAATGCAGGGCATTTTGCAAGGCTGAGTCGTTCCAAAGTATCGTGTGCCGTAATCGAGCGTTGCGGTTGCGATAACGCTGCCGATTTCATCCTTGCAAAAACAAATCTCCGTATCTACCGAAATATCAGACACCTGGTACTAGACTTTTAAAACTGATACATTAATTATGGCAGATGTAATGCTACTATTTATATATATCTGATTTATATATGATCTTGATATGAATGGAAAATATCTGGTTTGCATAGTCGGTGAATGACGGATTTAAAAATAGACGTAATGTTTAAGACATCGGTTATACAGAGGGCAGTCTACGTAGCTGTGAAAACGGCAATTGTTTCAGCGTGTTGCACACACACACACGGAATTCGTACATTTGTATAGAAATAGTACCAATAGTAATACATATGTGTGATGATGTACAATTAGAACAAAGTTATGTAAAAAATGTTTCAAATTTTTAATATATATTCTTGACAACTTTACGCTGTTCACATTCTCCTTTCAGATATACATTCGTATATAACTAAATAATCATATACCCAAAATTACATTTACGACACACACACACACACACACACACACACACTCTCTCTCTCTCTCTTCTAGCACAATACAAAATATTTTATATATTATATATACATATTACATTTATACCATATCTTTTAGCAGTGTATTTTTTATAAAAGTTATATAGTAGTGTACACCCCCCTCCCTGAATATCATTACAAGAATTTAACAATATAGTAACAATAATGGTAAATGTGAGTTGATCATTTGCTATGCAACTTTTCTATACAAACGCTCAGCTGTTGGAGACGATGGAGCAAATGGCGCATATTCGCGCTTGATTGTCTGAGACCTGACTGCTCGCCACCCACCTCTTGTCGCTGGCCCAGCTCGAAGTGCAGTCTGGCCAGACGTTCTTGCTGCTCCCGTATCTCCGTCATCTGCTCCATACTACAGTCTTTTCCTACAAACGATTATCGAGCTCGTTAATTGTACTTAACCGTTTGCACAAGGCAGTACCAACCGAATGCTCGTAAATTGCCGCTGTGAAAGTCTTCCAGCAATTGCAGCAAAGCTTGCTCCATGTGACGTACGTCAGGGACCTCTGACAGAAAGCAATGGTGTTTGCATGGCACCATGGCTTTGTACAATAACGCCAAAACAAAATCAAAAACGTGAAACTCAAAGAACTAAACGTAAGTCGGGCACGGCGAAATCATAAAATTATAACAAACATATCAAATATACATACGTGAATTCATTTAGAAAATAGAAAGCGAGTAAAGTGGAGAAGCAGGGAAACTTAAGAAGACGAAGGATCATTGTATATTTAACACGACTTCCAGATCTCTGGAGCCTCAGCTACCTTTGTGCTGCCTCACGATTCTCGGCGGATCCGGCCGACTAGGCCTCTGCTTCTCCTTCTCCTTCTCCTTCTCCTTCTCATTGAGATACGTCAATCGCGACTGATTGCCAGCGTAACTCGAGGCGTTGGCGGCTCGACTGGAGACCATGGAGCCCTGACTCGTCCCTTGGCCGGAGCTGCCTTTGCTAATGATCGGCGACGTTTGCGCGTTATTCTCCCACAGTATTTGTTGCTGCAAGCATGTCACTTAGGAAAACAATTACGTTATCGTACCGTCGTCGTCAACGTAACGGGGCGAGGGAAGACAATTGTGTACTGCGAGACGCCATACCGATACGTTGGTGTTGTGCACTTCGGCCTTGCTCGGACGTTGAGATCTCGCCGGCGTCGACGGAGGGGTGACTTCCCCCCCGTGGCTGAGCGGCTCCTCGCACTCCTCCTCCTGAACCAACTGCTGCAACTCGCCGCATCCGGCTGCCTCCACCATCGCGACGGGAAACGTACGGAAGACTCCTCAACTGGAAGCATCGAACTAAATCACTATCTGTTCACAGATTAGACCTCACCGCTACATTTCACTTTATTAATATTCCATCTCAGTAACTTGAACATTTATCTAACAGCAAATGCACCTGGATGCAATCTAATGCCTGCGCATGTCTCACAGTTTAGACAATCGAGTCGAGAGTGAATTAATCTCAAAATCGAACAATAGAAGGGGCTCGGAGCCAAGACAGGGTTTTAGTGTCAAAAAATTTTCAATTAAGTTAGACGGCTTCGGTTCCAACTGAACCGTCCTCGGTGTGTAAAAGATACACGAATAATACGAGGAATCACGCAGTCAGTGAGATAAAATATAAAGAGTTACCGATACGATCGTACACACATGTGACGCGGCGCAAACGTGTGAATCATTCCAAGGCAAGCTGTGACAATGAAACGAATTAATTCACCGAAATCAATAACACACGGCACCTCTGACTGTCTTATGACATTTCTATCGCGGTTCATCGGTCAGTGCACTAATTGACGCACTTAATAAGCAGGTGTCGCCCAAGTTGGAGCATTTGGACGGGGCCGTCGACGAAGAGGTCGACGACCACGAATTTAAGTATACAATTTAGCCGCGTTTCAACTCCCGTCCCCAGCGAGAAATTGACTCGTCCGCCGACGAGTTGAAACGACGTCGGGTCGAGTTTGACAACGTCGTTTACCTGTCTCGCGCGAGCGCACGTACCTCGCCAGCTGTCACCAGCTGCGAGTCACGAGGGACCTGAGAGGAGGTGGAGTCGCATCCAACGCGAAGATGTGTCCAGCCTGGAACGCGGTTCGACAGTACGATTAGTTGTTCCTTCGGTTCGGAGCCACCGAGTTACCGAGAGCGCAACAGACGCAAGTGTTAACGTCCGCTTTCCCAGGGGGGGCGCCGTTTGTCTCCGAAGCCTGGTGGCGGCTCTCAAGTCAGGTTGTCCAGTGTCAACGGTGTTGTTGTCCACTGACGAGGTGCCGAATATCGTTTTCTCGCAGCTGACTCTTGGAGCGGTTTATCCCGCGCGACACCGTCAGCCTCTCGAGGTCCACATGCATGTCGAGATTCGCCCAACGAACGTTGCCGTGGAACACGTTATTGCGACAAAAGCGTGGCGCCAGTAATCGTATGTACTTTTGTGAACAAGTTTACGTGCTGATTTTATCAATTGAAAAAAAAAGTATGGCACAGGACAGGACAATTGGTCATTTTATTAGCAGATGTATGTTGTTTTGAATAAAAATTCTAGCTTACAAGAAAAAAAGCAGCTCTAACTGGCAAGCATTACATTTTGCTAAATAATATCGAACGTTTACAATTTGTTTGATTGTTGTATGTAAAAAGAAATTCCTTGCACTGCGATGTGAGTCTTGCTGCCTTGAGTATCGCAAGCCAAGAATTACATTGTCGCCTATACCTTTCGCACTTACTTCAATTAAGATACGCAGAGAATTCACATCGATTAACTCTAAAATGTTTGAGTGAACAGGCCAATTTTGATCCTACGCCCTATTCTAAAATCTTGACTGTATCTCTACACGAGTGTGTACCTACATACAATTTTCTGAATTCTATACTTTTACAAATAGGCAGTATTTATTGACCATGTCTGGCAAGTTTGATACAGTTGATAGTCGCACTGATACAAATTCTAGCTTACAAGAAAAAAAAGCAGCTCTAACTGGCAAGCATCACATTTTGCTAAATAATATCAAACGTTTACAATTTGTTCGATTGTTGTATTTAAAAAGAAATTCCTTGCACTGCGATATGCGACTATCGACTGTATCAAACTTGCCAGACATGGTCAATAAATACTGCCTATTTTTAATTACTTCCGGCGACTTACAAGAATATTCCAAAATATCTATACTTTTACCGTAGCAGACACGAGACTCGCAGTGCCATGGCAGGCAAGGAGGAGGTAAGCAGCGCGACGACTGACGCAAAGACCGAAGAGACGCCGGATAATTCGACAACGGAGGACGCGCCAGCCAGTCTAGAGACCATCCCCGAGGGGAACGCGGCGCGAAACGGGCTTCAGGCAGCGCCGAAGGACAAGTCAAAGAGTATATAATCTCGCCTTCGTTTACATATAATTTTCCAAGTTCACATAGAACACAAGTGTATTTAAATGCTGCCCTTTAAACGTCGCAGTTGATATACTGCTGAAGGCAACTGCGAACGCTCCGATCATGAAGCAGAAGAAGTGGTCGGTCTCCCAGGACAATCCCATTGGGCGGATCTCCGAATTCATAAAGAAGTACCTCAAGCTCGATCCCAACGAGAGGCTGGTGCGTCGAAATAAATGCCCGTCTCCGCAAACCTCCGCAAAGTCTCTGTCGATGCGGCGCAGCTGAATAACCAATTCTTCTCTTCCAGTTTCTCTACGTCAATCAGACGTTCGCACCTGCTCCCGATCAGACGGTCAAGAACTTGTACGACTGCTACGGCGCCGACGGGAAGCTGGTCATACATTACTGTAAAAGCCAGGCGTGGGGCTGAGATTCGTTGAAGTTGGCTCGCCGACGTTGACTTTTCCTGACGAAGCTTAATACACAAGTTAACACAAAACACATTGTGATAATAGTTTTCTTTATCTTGTTATCTATAGTTATTCTTTATTATTTATGATATATAACTCCAACTTTATATTTACGATGTAATTATGATACCTGGATTTTACTCTATTGCTGTTTCGTAGGCGACTTCTTGCTGGAATTATGCGTTCGTATTAGAGAGGCGCAAAGAGGCTGTCACGATTTTATCGTATGTACTGTATATTTTAATATAGCAATATTGGAAGCTAAATTAATCAGTCTGACGAAGTGATTGCACATTACGTTTTTGACGTAGTGGATCCTCTGCTGCTTGAATTCGAAGACTCTTTCAGACTTTCTGTCGTCTTCGCTTTACTGGACGACCCGTCGCTCTTGGCGTCCCTGCATCGACATTGATTCGGCGTACTTGCGCTTGATTTGGAGCTCGCCGAACTCCGCGACGTGCATTTGCAAGTGGGCGTTCTTTCTTCGCGGATTTCCCTTTTGGAATCTTTACTTCGGTCGGAGGCAACTGACCTTTTATCGCCTGACGAGTGCCATTATTTAATAAGAAAATGTGAATACCGTGCAAAGTTCATATTTCCCTGATAAATCTATTTTACTTTATCGTACGTTAGAGAACGTAATATACTTACTTGTACACGACGAAGTAGATTTTTTGGAGGGTCGTACAGCTTGATCCGCCACGACACTCGCACCGTCCTCTGCTTTACGCGGGGATACTTTATCCACTTCCGCGTCAGGCGGGCTGCGCGTGGAGCTAGCGATTCTTTCCGATTGACCCACGCTCTTGGAATCGTCCGAGGCCTCGGACGGGCGTTTCCAAATCATGATCGTCCCGTCGGCGCTAGCCGACACTATGTACTTGCCGTCCGTGCTGAACTTACACGCGGTGATTATCGCGGCATGAAAAGTACCAACGTGGGTGAGATCCGCGCTGTCGTACTCCCAGATCTTGACGGTGCAGTCATTGGACCCGGTAATGAAGTATCGACCATCCGAACTGATGTCTACGCAGTTGATCGTTCCGGCGCTGGAACCTTCAATCTCCCGCACCAGCGAGCCGTCCAGGGTCTCCCAGTAAGCGATCTTCCGATCCGTGCCGCATGTCAAGATCTGAATGCTGTCGGGCGTGAATTGCGCCATCATAAACATCGTGTTCCCTATGAGAATGTGCTTTCTGCTGCAGCGTCTATTACGAAAAAGGGATTTCCGCCTGATGAAAAAGAACATCCGCTCGGGCAATTTAATATCTTACAGACGGAACTCACGTTATGTCCCAGACGACGCACGTGCCGTCCGTGCTCGAACTGACCAGGTCCTCGTTGTTGCTCGAGACGTGCAACGATGTTATCGGGCCCCGGTGTTCTTTCAGTATGCTAATCAATCGCCGCACGTCAGTCTTTATGTCCCATACGCGCACCTGGAAGTCGAACGTGTTCCACAAAATTTATCGGAGTGCAATGCATAATCAAGGAGGTATTCTGCAAGCAAACTTTCGCTGTACAAGCCCCGTAGCCCTTTCTCTCTTATTCTACATAAAGATACAGCGTTACAAAACATTTTTACCGCATGGATCCCTAATATAGATACATGTTAACTTTTGCCAGGAACAGAGTGAGCTAGTCTTGAATCAGTCGTGTAATTGACGCTAGACGCTTTGTGGAACGCAAAGTGAATCACCTGGCCGTCGCAGCCACCGCTAATCAGCGTATTACTGTCGCTCGTGACAGCGATCGTCGACACGGCTTTTGTATGAGCGTTGTGAATGGAAAAATAAAAGTCCCCGTTGTGCGGCGAGAACGCTCTTATTATACCGTCGTTCCAAGCTGAAATGGTGAAAACGTTCAAGTATTGTTTATAGCTCGGATGTGACGACAATGACACGATAATGTACAGGTATATGAATAGCTAAACGTGCCAGAAAGTAGCATTTGATCGTCGCGCGCGAACTGTAGACTGGAGCAAATGAAATTCGCCACGGTGATGCGGACTATCTCCTTCTGCTTTTCCAGCCGCCACAGCCTGACGTCGTGCTTGCTGCCCGTCGCGAACACCTCCGAATGATTGCTGCGACATCAGAGCGACGTTAGTCGATTCGGCCGGCCGGCGCAATTGCGAAATTCGGTATCTTTACCGTGGAAACGCGACGCTGTAGATGCAACTGATGTGGCAGGTGACGAGTAGGCGCATGTGAAAATCCGACAGCTGAATTTGATAGATCTCGCACCAGGATGTCCCGACCAGCACGAATTCGTTCCGATACAGAACTATGGACGTCACGGCGCTGCACACGTTTTCTGCTTGATGCTGATAGGAAAAAAAGGATGACAATTACGATTTCAGTCATCATAGAGTCGCGAATTACACGCGTATCTCCAGCTGTCGTCGTTAATTTTTGTTTCCACATCTTGCAGTAGCTCTACATCTTTTCCCCCTTCGTTGTTAACCGCGAGGTCATTGTCCACTTCTCTTCTTGTTAACATGTTTGAGGCAAAGTTACGTGAACGACACTCACGGTGAGTATCTGCGGCGTATTAGGGAACTTGGACGGCTTGCGCGTTCGGTTCTCCTTCGTGCTGATTATCTGGATCAACTCGATGGTACCATCGCCAGTGCCGACCACCAGTCTCCCGTCTTTCAGAAGCAGCAAGCTCCTCACTCCGCCCGCGTACAGATCACCCTCGCCCGTCTTTATTTTCCTCGGGTCGCGCGTTATCTTCGAGTAACAGCCGATCATCACCGGCGAACGCGCCGGCTCTCCGCGTTGCAGGTCGTCGCGCAGATTCAATCTGAGAATGAAGGGACAAGATTGGACAGGAATGAGGTACGAGTAGCGAACAAGACGAAACGTAGCGGCACGGCAATTGAGGGAGAAGAATATTAATCGAATAACAGGCGCTGCGAATACACTTTTCCGCAGGTGTCTCTATGACCTTGCTTTAATGATATCACCGGAAGAAGTGCCGCAGTAGACGATCTCGTCCCTCTCGTCCACGACGACGCAGTTGACGAGGCGCTTCAGCTTGCCCACTTCCACGTCGAGGCCGTGCACCCGGCGCTTCTCAGCCTCGATCCGCCAGATCTTCAGCGTTCTGTCGCCCGAGGTAACGAAGCACTCGCCGTGAAGATGCGTCCTCGTGACGTTATGCGCGTTGCCGCTCGTATCGTTGCTGGCGAACAACCCTGCAGAGGATCGTTTCTCAATTAATGTACGTACATTTGCAGATCGAATTCGTCACGGACCGTTCACGGTAGAACTGGTTGGAGGGATCTCTGGGAGAACGTCCCAGTTGGGAACAGTAACGTCGAATCGACGTCAATGGAGTCGAGACCGCGTCCCAACCGTCAGTTTTCGAAAATATAATTAAGTTGTGGAACTTAGCTTTTGTATTAAATTACTACGTTCAACGCTCTGAATACTTTTAGCGTCTTATTGGAGTGAACCGCCGAGGTAACTTTCCAGCGAGAAATTTCTCGTCGATCGATGTCGAATCGACATCGTCACCGTCAATTTGACATCGTTTCGACATCGATCGACGAATTATTTAATACAAAATTTAATGCAAAAAATAAAACTCCAAGTTTCATTCCACCATAGCTGGCCACATCTGTTAATTAATCGGTTAATGCAGAAGATTTATTGCGAAAAGTATTACCTCAGCCAGGATTTAAACCTGGACCTCCCTTAAG